GAGATGAATGTAAGATGGATATGTGTTCAATGCCACAGGTTTTAATGAAAAGAATAAAGTTATGATTCAGTTCAACGTGACTCCCTAGTCATTCTATAAAAGGAAGGATACACTAACCGTCACTCTACAGTTTTTGTCGACCAGTAACTCTACTTCTTTGCTCTGTGACCCTAAGATGTATCTAACTTCAACTCAAAACTCTACTAACCATGTTTGATTTTTTCAAATCATTATTATTCGACCTAGGTTTTTATTCACTTAATTACTTCAGTTTTACTTTAGCTTGTTGCCGAGATACTGACAACTAAGCCGTGTTTAACTAAATTCAAGGTTACGGCATTGTTCCATGATGATTGTTTGTCTTTGACTGCCTTCTGAAAACAGTTATTGTAGTTCTTTTAGTTAAACATTTATCCCCATCTAGCTTGTAAAAGTAGGTGAATCTGAGTCACAGAACACTTGTAGTGGTATACTTTTACAAAGATAACACAACTGCTGAAAAGGAAACATTTATTATTTTACTTAAATCTGACAATTATTATTCTGTTGTACTCCTTTTTGATCAACCGTACTAAAGACTATCTCTCGGGAGCCAAGCGTTTCATTCACATTACGTTTCTCACCTTGGTGGTTGTTAGAAGCTTATTTATTCCGGTCTTCATATTATTTCGATTTCACGAGGCCAGCGATAAATATGCTTCTTCATCCAGAACAGTCTTATTTCTGACTTCTGGATTTATCGGGATTTACCTCGGTAATCATGCGAAGGTGTTTATTTATATCAACTCACTATTATTGGCGAGCGACGACTACGAACAAGCATCAAGTACAGTGAGTCTGTCATTTTTCTATCCAATTTTCTCACTATTTTAACTGTTGTATAATATATATCGATACTTTCTTATTTACATATATTATATCTGCAACAGCGTTTTAAAATGGTGGATAGACCAAAAAATGACGATAACCTAACAGACTCCCAGTTACAGGTCATTAATTTTCGACCTATCGGTTTCATTCCCCATGACCCACAGGTGTGGTTCGCTGCACTAGTATCTCAATTTGGAATCCACCGCATCACAAACCAGCGGTAAATGTTTGCTTATGCCTTGGGGTCTCTCCCTGGGGACCATATAGCCGTTGTCCGTGAGGTTGTTCTCAGTCCTACTGTGCCTGATGTCTACGACAGGCGACTTTCAGATACTTCCTCCTGTCGAGGGGGGGAACGATTGAGAAAATTGTTAGCAGGTCATCCCCTGGGTGATGACAAACCAAGCCACCACCTCAAGCGCCTGAAATCCTTGGAAGGACCAACGACAGCCGACTCTGATATAGTCAGGAGACTGTGGCTCGAGGCACTACCAACACATGGGCAGCCTGCGATCACGGCTCCGCTCAAGGGCACGTCACTTAACCAGGCTGCCATTATAGCAGACAAGATTGTAGCGCGGACTAGTTCGCGGGACAACTACATAGTTGCCTCCACGTCACACGCAAACGTTGACCTCGACGCTAGTCACCTTCAGGCTCAAAGAGATCGAAGCTTTTGCATTCATGAATGTGAAGACCTGACCGATAAATAAAGGTAAGAACAACCCTCCCATTATATTAGACTTCAGAATGGCTTAGCAACAGAAATGCTGCCACTTATGCCGTAGGTCATTGTTTAATGAACTTATGAAGACCTTATCTGGCGACTCTTTCCACCCAAACTTTCATAACATGCGCAAGTTGTTCTTGCGTCGTATAGGAATTAATTCATGGACAAACTGGATACATCTTTCTACCGAATTATGCGAATCACCGAAACCCCTAGGTATGACGTTTGTTCTGTTGAGTAAAACATTTTGATCGACCAGAAACGAGATTACAGTCCTCTGTAATATAAGGAAGCGCTTTTTCAGTGTTTAGCATAATCGCTAGCGATTTAGTATTTAATTGAGGTATAAATCCTGAATCACTTGTTCACCCAGGTACATTGATGCTCGGCAAAGTCAATCTCAATTAAAAATATATGTCTAAAATGGTCATAGTTTATATTATCGCATTTTGAATATTGAAAGTTTTTTTCTGTTTTCATAATGATTTCCTTCTGCTTGGTGCCGCTGAATTGAATTTGAATAAAGACTGCAACAACCACGTTACTGGCTTTTAATATATGTGTTGTGGATTTTCGAGTCTAAGGACTATGAACTTGTTTAAAAATCAATTAATTTCGGATCCCCAGCGTTATCCCAAATCTTTTATCAGAATGAGAAGACGGGATTGACTGGATGAAATAACTCTATTTGCTGGCGATTTCGGGGCATCAAAAGAATACTGAAACATGTCAGACGATTGAACGAAGGTACTGAGCAGTAAAAGCAAGATGGCAACCTGAAACTCGAGAGCCTGTTGAGAATAAATAAAATGTTCTGTAAAGCGTTCACTTGTACAATGGAAAATAATAATGAATGTTGCTATTTAACCGATCATGTTTGCCTTTGCAAAAGATTAATCCCTAAAACGTATATACAAGAGAGCCCTACATCATAAAAGGAGGGAGGTTGGTGTAGCTGACCAGCATCCACGTCCACGACTCATGTCCGTAACTTTGCACTGGTTTAACTTCCTACCAGAAAATACTATTACAGGCTGATACGGACAATTATAACGAAAAAGAGCTCAGTCATGACTTCTTGAGCAACAGCGTTAAATAACTGTTGATAAAATACCCTCAAATCATCTTATCACTGTGCCTTCATTATTACATTCTGAAAATCAACGTCATTTCTAACACTTTAGTTCTCTTTAATCTCCTCTGTTCATTAGATTATTTGGTCATTCGTTATGTTACTAGAGATTTGTTTGATAGCAACACATGATTGATTTAACACAAAACTTTGTATATCCTCTGTGAATAGCCAGATAATAAATTAAGGACCGACAATGAAAAAGTGCGGTAATTCGGTATGTTTACTACCAGTGTTATTTGAGAACAATAATTATTAGTAAGTCCAGTAATGGACAAAAAGAAGACAACGACATATGGTGATGTACAAATTATTGTTATCAGGCATGAGCTACAGCTCCTCTTATATAATGACAGCTATCTGCAGCAAACAAGTTACTAAAACTTTGCATACACTGAGGGCAAAAAACGAAGTTGTTTCTTCCAAATGATTTGCTCATATCATCTTTTTTTTACAAAGTGAACCTGTGTGCAAAGTGAACGGATAAACCGAAATGGACGAACAAATATTAGGGAATAGAACTTCCGTATGAGCAAGAAAACATTGGTAACCCTAATGGAATATGTTAGAGATGGAAAATGCCAATATGTGTGGTGATTTCTACTGTATAGGCGGCATATAATTGGCATTCAGAGGATTTTCTATGGGTTCAGACAGTTTGCACACATTATTCGCTAATCAAAATCCAGATTGCATTGTAAGATTATTTACCACCCATGTACTACTTTTCTGTCTTTTGATGTACCCAATATTCTGAGATGATGATCTCTAGCATATATCACTCTTTAGTGATCATGTACATCTACGAAGACTATGTGATAACAGTTACATGAAGACTTTATTCTTTCATTATTAAGCTGAACTCTTATGTTTGCTTATCGAACTAATATGGACTTTTTAGCATTGACAATATTTCACTGATCCCTATTTTCGTTGTCTCCTTGAAGTTCTCCACCTGAAAACCCAGAATCATTGAGTTCGTCCCGCCATTTTGATTTCAAGTCCTGATTAAGTTTCGGACATAGCTCGATCCTGAAGTGGTCATGGTAGCCGGATACTGATACTTATGTAAAATATCTCGTGCGATTTCTTTAGTATGACGTCCTTTCCCTCGATACTTCCTCTTACTAACTTTAAGATGCCCTATTGTTGACTCCAAAACCCCTACCAAGTCGTTAGCCTTTAGCAGTATATTATCCTAAAGCAGTATATTTTTGACAGCAGATAGTTCAAATGCCTTTTATCGAGCTCACTTTCCTTTGAATCCTTTAGACATTAAAAAATTAAACAAGTGGTGGGCTTGGGTTTATTGAAATTTGTGTTCATAGGGTTCGTTCGTGTTGAAACCGTTATTTGCTTACTAACCTACGGAAACATTTCTTTAGTCGTCCCTTTTATATTGACTATCGGACCAATCTATTCATTTATGTTGTAAAAGTTGTATTTTCAAATAGTTTTGATGTCCGACCACCTCTTCAGTAGAGTTTAGAGCTAGTGCCATGTTCATGTTTGATGATTTTTTTGTATGACAGTGCATGGCGTATTAGGATGTCGGGTAACAGTTTTATAGACTCTTACATCACTAGTGATTACACTTGTAGCTACCTTGTCTGATGTCAGATCTACCGAGTGGATATCCTCACTAGGCAGATTATTTCTTAAAACGAACAACCCTCGGGTTGATTCAACGAGAATCAATTTAGCCCGACGGTATCATTTACGCGACCAGAGTGAAGCTGATCAGCAGCATCGTTTATTTGTGATCGGCGGTAAATTGTACATATTTTACGGAACTTTATCGTACAGCCATCATACTGCATGTCATTCTCATCAAGAAAGTAACGCAATGGTCGAAAACACCAATGACTTTTAATGACTATTTCGACCTCCTTGGAAAAGATAAAATGATAATCATTTTGAAATGTATCTCCTGTAGCAGACAATAAAAAATATATTGAGTGAACAGAGCAGTCATTGCAAATGCGAAGTTTACGATGGAGCTTTGTCATAAAAAATTTAAATAAAGATAATAAGTAACCATTTTGGAGTGACAGGATGCTACATGGAAACTTTAGCAGAGAATTTCGTGTATTACTTATGATCTACTTGGCTTCAAAAAGCTTTAGCAACGACACGTAGTCCAGAATTTACTAGATGCAACACCAGTCCCCTTGGTCATGGAATAAGAAAAGAAATTTGGTATTTGAGAGCGAGTTCAGTACTTTTATTTCTAGAACCGGAACATGATGATTTTATTTGTTTAGCACCACAGTATCTCCGTAACGCGCCCACTTTAAGTTCCTGAGCGACCTCGTGTTTTGCAAGTCCTGGAAGATGTTGCTACCACTCGCAACTAGGAATAGTATATTTGAAAAGGTTATTCAAGATGGTGTGTTGACAGCAAGAAATGATACACGACCATGCTACAATCACCCGACGATTAACGTTCGAAATCTTCATGTCATCAAGACAATGCGATCATTAAAGTCTCGCGGATATGTACGTGAACAATACGCTTGGAGAACATATTATTGGTTCCTTACAGCCGATGGAATTAACTATTTACGTGAGGTAAAGTGTTTTTCTTTGTTCTTTTTGTTTAGGTTTTACACTTACCATCTGACATAATCCCTGCTACTCTGAAAGCGCCACCTCGTGATATTCGAACACCAGCCGCAGGAATGGACCAGGGTGCACAGCGTGGTCCCTCTGATGGTCGCGTCGCGTTTAGAAGAGGACCAGTTACTCCTGGGATGACTAACTTCGGTACTCCCGGAAAAGATGCAACTATTGGTGATAGCGAAGTACATTTCCATGGAGGGTATGGAAGAGGTCGACCTATGTAGATGTTCCTTAATACAATAATGATGGAACTAGTAAAGCCTTTTAAATTTCGATCTTTAAATTTGTCATATTACCGTTAATGGGATGTACAAATCCAATACTATCAATCGGCTCTCTAATATCAGCAAACGGTGGTGGAACTAGTTCTCACAAGTTGACACCCCTGTTGTAGGAGCTGATTAAGTTCTAGGGTAATTTGAAAAGCTACTTTAATCATATTGTGTTCGAATTTTCGTGAGTAGACATAGATCCACACGTCTTCAGTCATTTTACTCTGTTAGATTAAACTTAAGTGTAGTTCAGAGGCAAAAATAGGTATACCTAGAAGGGAGTATTGAAGTCAATGAATTTCTGTGCCTGTGGGCTTTTTTGATAGTGCACATTTTTCAACCCTGATGATGTACTTACATAATGTCAGGTGATTTATGTACACTGAGGTCGTACATGTCTGCCGTAAGTTGCTATCTTAATTGTTTACGCTCAGATACTTTAATTGCCTCTGAAGTTGTGCTGATGTCGTTCAGAAGAACAATGAAGCTCCACAACCAAAACATCCAACTCAGATAATGAGACTCCACACTCTCGGCACGTTCAAAAATTTACTTATGCTTAGGAATGGTCCCCCGAATGCTGTGCTCCCAAGTGCGCGTTGCATGCAACAGCATTACTAGTTACTGCATACGTAAATGTTGTCAATGATATGGAATTGTTCTTATACCAAATCTTATATTTTTGATGGGATATCTTAACTCGATGTGCAGAGTAATCACGGTTTCGATTTTACCAAAGTACGTGCAGATATCTTATAAAGTAAGTATTTTATATTTCTCATAGGTTCTACAAGTAGGATATAACGCGCTTGACCATGTCTGCTCCATTCTTTCATCGTACTGTGTAAAACATTTTCATGCTTGCGTGATAGTTATTACAGTTTAGTCATCTGCTTCGACTACACTCTTAATAGGGTATCGAGCCGTGAGTTTCCTTGTTCACAGTATTTCTGATGGGGGATGCCTATCTTGATAACACGTTTGTGCTTTAAGCTGAAATGTTCGTAACTGATCTCAACAATGAGTAACACTATCTATATGCATTTTTTCTGCATTATTTATTAGAAACTTTGTTGGGAAATACGTTAAAGTCAATTGCTCATATACCATTTATAGTGATTATTATTCGTGAATTCAATGGTTGTTACCAGACAGTCATTGTAAAAATGCATTTAAAGTTCTCAAAGTAGTTTGACAGAAATGTACTAAATGATAATCTTACATTATTAATACTGTATACTTATTTAAAAACAAATTAGAATGAGATTGAGTTAGAACGACCTCACTGGTGTAACAATAACTCGTGGGTGTACCCACATTACTTGTTATACTGGAGGTTAGGTTTTCTAACTATTTGTTAGAGGTGACGATTCTGTTGTAAATTAAATCAAAAGATATTTTTATTACCATATTGTCATGCCGTAGTTAATCAGTTGTAGTCAGTCGGTAACAACGTATAACATCAGTTCAAATTGCCATACCACATTAGCACAAAGACACAATTGTCAATTCAAGTCCCGTAGTGATAAAGATAGTAGAGGTATTAATGGTAATGATGAAGACTAGGGTTTGAAGATATTATTCAAGAAGTATAATTCAGTGAGATAAGGTTAGAAAGACATAGGTAGAGGTGCTGACGAATCCGGAAGATTCAGTCAGTCAGTCAGTCAGTCAGTTGCAACGTAGAACTTCGTACGTATGTACATAAGTTCATGTTGCCATACCACATTATTAGCACAGAGACGCAAATGTCAAATCAAATCCCATAGTGATAAAGATAGTAGAGGTATTAATGTTATAATAAAGAAGACTAGGGTTTAAGATATTATTCAAAAAATATAATTCAGTGAGATAAGGTTAAAAAGACAAAGGTAGAGGTGCTGACGATTCCAGAAGATTAGGATTTGAGAGAGCTCAAAGAGTGGATGCACCTGCGCCATTGCAAACGATTTTGAGCCATGTCGTTCAAGGTCTCTAACCATTGATGACTTTCGTCTCGCGGACCCCAACCAGGTAGTCTACATCTACCAACATGACTCAGTCCACTTGTCAGTGACTTCATGGATTTGTGCCATGTTTTGGTCTGGCCGCCCCTAGCTTTCTTCCAACCTACTCCTACACTACAAAACATAGTTCGTCGAGGCAGTCGGTGGTTAGCCATACGTAACACATGTCCCAACCACCTCAACTGATGAAGTTTCACCACTTTATCGATTGATCTGCCATCCTTACCTAGTACTCGTTTCCTAACGACAGCATTGCTTACTCGGCTGTCCCACGATATACGAGCAATGCTTCTTAAACATCTATGATCGAATACTAGTAACCTACGAACATCTTCTACTCTTAACGGCCATGTTTCACAGCCATATAAGAGAACCGAACGAACTGCTGCACAGTACACCCGCCCTTTGGTTAGCGAACGGATATCACGCCTACGCCATAAGTGACGCAGGTTGGCAAAAGCCAATCGAGCCTTCTGTATCCGAGCTAAGATTTCGTCAGTCACCAGGCTATCAGCGCTGATGAGACTCCCGAGATAAGTGAAGCGGTCTACACGTTCGACTACTTCACTCCCTATCACTAGTTCAGGTGCCGATGCAACTCAGTCTTGAAGCAACATTTTGCATTTCGAGGGGGAAAACCGCATCCCGAACATGCTTGCATTGTTGCTTATGGTAGTTAGAAGACTCTGCATTTTGTCAGCGTCTTCACCGAATAGAACTATGTCATCGGCATATTCTAGATCAGTAAGCGACTTTCCTGGTAGAAGGTCAACCCCTGAAAAATCTGACGAGCTTAATGTTAACTCTAAGAGGATGTCTACGACAAAGTTGAACAAGAATGGAGAGAGTGGACAGCCCTGACGGACACCACTTGATGTAGAGAATTCAGATGACAGTTCGCCATATGCTCTCACCCGACCAGTGGTGTTCGAGTAGAGTGCTTGTATAAGGTTAATGTACTTCTTTGGTACACCTTTCAATGACAGACACTGCCACAGAACCTCACGATCCACTGAGTCGAATGCCGCTTTTAGGTCCAGGAACACGACTATTGTCGGACGTCTAAATGTGTGTCTGTGTTCTAGGACCTGTCGTAGTGTGAAGATGTGGTCTATACAACCACGTCCAGGTCGAAAACCAGATTGGTTTTCTCGAGTCTGCTCTTCGCGAGCTCTAGTTAGACGTCTAAGTATAATCGAGGCTAACAATTTAGAAACTATATTAGTTAAACTTATTCCCCTGTGATTGTCACAAGAGGACTTTTGTCCTTTCTTGTAGATTTGGACAATTAGCGACTGAGACCAGTCAGATGGGATTGTGTCCAATTCCTAGATTCTACCTAAGATCTCGGTCAGTCTAACCGTTAAAACTGGACCATCATCCTTAAACATCTCAGGGGTAAGCCTATCGGGACCTGCCGCTCTACCTCTCCTTAGATTTCCTATAGCTTTCTCAACTTCATGTAAACTGGGAGGACTTAAATCGGTTTGCCATTCAGGATGACTGGAGATCGTGGGCAACCGAAGAGTGGCTGAAGGCCAGTTGAACTAATCCCTAAAGTGTTCTGCCCATCGGTCCAGCCTCCTAGATTGAGAATGGATAATAAGACCATCCTTTTCCGAGATAGTCTCACTTACATTCGGGTTCCTAATACCGGTTTCTTTGATAAGGTGGAAAAGTTGTCTAGTGTTGCCTATCGCCGCTGCCTTTTCCATCGCTTTTGCTTTCGCCACCCACCACTGTTCACGGTCGTTACGTAGGCTTTTTATAAGTCTGCGCCTAAGTTGAGTACGCTCTTCATCATGTTCAGTGTCAGGTGGGATGCGTTTTCGTGCATCCATCAGTTCGGTGGACGCGACTGAAATCCACGGCTTCATCCTGGCCTTATGGTTTACCTTGCTAGCAGATATCATTGCTGTTTCCACAGCCTTCTTTATATCATTCCAACCTGACTCCGGATGGGAATCGCTTACATGATCGCCCAACTGTTTTTCTAGTTCCTCCTGAAATATTTTCTTAGCTTGATTATCATCAAGTGAAGCCCTAAGAGGCTTCCTTACGGTGTCTAATCCGGAAGATTAGGATTTGAGAGAGCACAACGAATGGATGCACTTGCTCCATTGCAAACGATTTTGAGCCATGTCGTTCAAGGTCTCTAAACATTGATGACTTCCGTCTCGCGGACCTCAACCAAGTAGTCTACATCTACCAACATGACTCAGTCCACTTGTCAGTGACTTCATGGATTTGTGCCATGTTTTGGTCTGGCCACCCATAGCTTTCTTCCAACCTACTCCTACACCACAAAACATAGTTCGTCGAGGCAGTCGGTGGTTGCTCATTCGTAACACATGTCCCAACCACCTCAACTGATGAAGTTTCAATACTACATCTAATGATCTGCCATCCTTACCTAGTACTCATTTCCAAACGACAGCATTGCTTACTTGGTTTTCCCACGATATACGAGCAATGCTTCTTAAACATCTATGATCGAATACTAGTAACCTACGAACATCTTCTACTCTTACCGGCCACGTTTTGCATTCATATAGGAGAACGGAGCAAACTGCTGCACAGTACACCCGCCCTTTGGTTAGCGAACGGATATCTCGCCTACGCCATAAGTGACGCAGGTTGGCAAAAGCCAACCGAGCTTTCTGTATCCGCGTTGAGATTTCGTCAGTCACCAGGCTATCAGCGCTGATGAGACTCCTCAGATAAGTGAAGCGATCAACACGCTCGACTACTTCACTCCCTATCACTAGTTCAGGTGCCGATGCAACTCAGTCTTGAAGCAACATTTTGCATTTCGAGGGGGAAAACCGCATCCCGAACATGCTTGCATTGTTGCTTATGGTAGTTAGAAGACTCTGCATTTTGTCAGCGTCTTCACTGAATAGAACAATGTCATCGGTATATTCTAAGTCAATAGGCGAGCCTCCTGGTAGAATGTCCACCCTTCAAAAGTCTAA